GCGCCGTGGCGGCGCGACGCGGCTTTGCGTGAGGCAAGCGCGCTTCTAAGAACTCGATGGAGGCTGCGGCCCGAGTGGCAGCATTCCTGGCTGCCGGGAAATCAGCAGCGTGGCTCTGCCATGAGGTTGTTGATAAATGGACCTGGTTATGTTGCCTTTTTTTGAAAAGGAAACACATAAATAATTAAAGATTAAAAAGGTGTTAGGGGCTAGTGGGCATAGCTAGTTGATACCAACAGCAACAAATGCTGAAGCATCCCACTGGGACAGCATGGGGATATTTTCAGAGCAAATTGCACTGCGCTCCAGTCCACAGATGAATAAAAATGAAGAGTCCATAGCGGGTCCCTACTCTGGTCCTGTAGACAGATGGCAGTCAGCGGTCCTGCTCTTGCTTTTGCTGGCAGCCATCTGGAGTTCACACTCCTTCACACTGCTACTGGTACTACACACATGCATATTCATTACACACATAGCCTGTCACTGACACAGCTTTAAGCCAGGAACATTTTAATTTATTAAAATAATTATGCTATTTGTTATGTTATGTTATAATGCTGTTAATTAGCTCAGTTAATGAAAAAACAGAAACCTTAGATTACATATCAATAGAAAACAAAAAAGGTTGAAGATCGCCAGTACAGAGTAGTGCTGTGCATCAACATATGACCAGTTGCATAAATATTTGCAAAAGCTTTCATTCCTTTCTGTTATTATATGCTACAAACTAGGTCTGACCATGCAACATGCTGCACCCATTAAAAGACTGCACAAAACCTTCTAATAGCAGACGGTTGAGTTTATACTACTTAAGAAATATTTTCCAGGAGTTTGATTTGCTGAATCTTACACGTTTTATGAAGAATGTTAGAGCTGGAATTCCAGGTATATACCTATATCTTTTTTACACTATTTTGTTTTATGTTTTCATCACTCGCACTAATTGAAGATTTTATTTGAATGTTATCGTGAATTGTTTGTTTGTTGTTTTAATATTATTAAGCATAGGAAATACAGGTCTAATTCTGATGCAATCATTTTGAACAGTAACCTTTAATGAATTTTTCTATTTAACTGCATATAAAATTCTTGCACGGATTTTCATGAAGCAGTTTTTCTATTCACTTTCAGAAACTTCACTTTCTTTGCTTTCGTATTTTTGTTCCCACCTTCTTTGCAATACAGGGCACTAGCAGCAGTTTGTCCATGGCTGCAGAGCACTTCACTCGCTGCGTGGGCCCGGCGCGCGAGATGGGCATGGGCTCATTGCACTGAACATCTGCAGGGCATGGAGAGCATCTAATAGCCTGGGGTCAGTAAAGAGGTAGGAAATCCCACTTTCAAACACCATCTCAGATATGGATACTGCAACCTCAGGTAAGCTGGGGTCTGAAAGGGATTAGCTTCTACGTAAACAAAATTAAGTAGGCAAGACAAAGAAATACTTAGACATGACACAGATCAGTCAGAAAATGTTTTTGAGAGCTAAAGCAATTAACATACTAAACATCACTGCCATTATCCGGTCCCTATCACGGCTACGGCTGCCTGCAGTTCCTGTTGTTAGCAGGACACGAGTTGGATGATTTTTAATCTTGAACATTGCATAAAATAAAGTTGAAAACACTGGGGAGACTTCCATTTGCAAGGCTTGAATGCATGTGCTGGCTTTGCCTGCCCACATTTCTCCTCATCACACCAATTTCCACCTCACACAGGTGCCTGCAAAACAGTTTCTATCCTTTTTTCTATCCTGTTGATTATAATCACTGTCTATTCAGACTTCATTGCAGATACATAACATGCCCACTGCACCTCTTTCTGAAAGACTATCAAGAAGAGGAAGGAGAAGCAGATCCATGCCCACTGACCAGAGCAACTCGCAGCTTACACCTTCCCCTCGACGGGTGCTGTGAGTGGTGCAGAGCGCAGAGCAGCATCTGAGAGTGATCCTGGGCATGGTGAGGGTCGTTCAGTGGGTAGTAGATCTGGAGAAAACAGGGGTACTATTGCCCAGTTAGCAGGGAGAGGGTTTGCCCCTGCAATGGAGATCTTTTGCACACCATGGATGTGGTCAGGATGGCCGGATCAATGTCCAGAGAGCCCTCTGTTTTCATCTCCATACGGCGGTGGTACCAGCTCCAGGCACATGCAAAGCTCCAAACACTGTGCATCTTTTTGCCAGCAATGAGTGGGACTACTGAAAATTAATACATGAGCCACAGTCCATTCGGAGACTCCTGCTGGTTCACGAGCAAACAGCCCCTTGCTGCGCAGCCTTCTCTTCAGGCATTCACTAAGCTCTGGCATGCGCATTACCTGCCTCCTGGCATTTAGAATCATTTTTAAAGGATTTTGATCCTTAGTCTTAATTGTTCCCAATCTTGCCAACCTAGGACACAGCCTGTCTGCAACTCAGGCAGCGCTACCGTTTCAGCCCTTAGCGGCTTTGGTGCTGATACTGCTGGTACTGCTGGTTGTGAGAGGGAGCTGCCTCCCAGAGGACTTCGCTTGCAGCCCCATATCATTCCTAATCTTTTCCCCACACTACAACACCAAATATTCTGCTTTCAGCTTATTCCCTTTCTAAGCCAGTTACTACAAGATCCATCTTTATTCTCTGGCCTAGCAGCAAGATGGCAGACTGCGTTATCCTGAGACGCTTCAGGTGCCTGCCCTATTTAGGAGACTTATGGATTAACTGCCAGACTATCAGCCGATATGTTTTTATATTTTAAAGAAATGTGCGGATACATAGAAGCTTGGGTGAGAGCTTTTATACAGCTATTAGCCTTAAAAAAAAAAAAATCACACCTGCAATGGTTTCTTAAAGTCAGAAGAACAAGCAACATTCACTGAACCCAAGTTTTCAAAGACAGGATGTCTTACTTTCTCAAAAACAAATTTCTTCAAACACTGAAAAAGAAAGGGTCCTAACATAACAACTTCATGGACATAACAACTTAGAAATTTTTATTTTGCACTCTCTTATTCACAAAATGAAACCATAACTTGTTTTAAAATTTCAGCGTTTCAGCATTAAAAAAAAAATCAAAAACAAAAGTTTAAAAACTTCCAATTTCATGAACCTTTAACAAAAATCATTGCTGGCTCGACACAAACCTGTATTTTTTTCCTTTGGCAGTTTTAACAACTGAAATTGAGGGAAAAATAATTTTTTTAAAAAAATAAGAAAAGTATTCGGTCATCTTTACAATTTTATTATTAGCAAACTAAAGGAAAAACAGACCGATGTTATTTAGAAGATGAAATAAGACATGAAGTCCTAGTAAAGAATGAGACCTTAAGAGCAAATATACATTTACACCTATGCACATATGTACATAGCCACATAATGAGATATCTTAGCCTGAAGTAACAACTGGCAGTTCACTAGTTTAGTAATAATACCTATAATGAATGCATATAGGCAGAGGATAATGA